TCAGCTGCAGGAAAACCCGAAAAAACCAGCAGCACCACATTAGTTTTTTATATATGGATTTTCATCAAGTATCGGCCATTCCATTTTTAGGCCGAGATGAATCTTTTAAGTTACTGTAAACAACACAAATAGCGCGCGTATGTCAAAACTTTCTGAGTAGGTATAAGCTCAAAAATGTCCAACTTCACAATAGAGCTGTCAGTTGCCAGATTTCAACACTAGGGTTGCCAAATCCTGAAATATAAAAGGCAACCTATCGTATTCATGATAATTTTCTTCTCAGACAAAACATTTAGGAACATCCTGTATTTCATCAGTCAAAATATGACTCAAACTCTTTCATTTCCAGGTGACCGAAGAAACCTGTGAAATCCTCCAGCACTTCGGCTACGAGTTCGAACAACGAGGTCTAGTCTCAGTCAAGGGTAAAGGGCAACTAATGACCTATTACCTCCAAGGAAAGGCAGGAAAAACCACTCCCGCTGCTGCAGGAGGTTCGCCAAAGGTCTCAGCATCCACCATGGACACAGTCAACGAAGAAGATGAATCCCACGACAGCCCAACTTCCAAATCCGATGAGAAAACTGTAATAGAATGCTCGGAACATACTGACGATGGTGTTTTACCTCCTGAAAGCGAGATGACGTGCGAGGAGACCCTGGTGAAGAAGGAAGTGGAGCCCAAAGATTCGACAGAAGCAACGTTACTGCTCAGCCGAGTTGACACATAGAGTCGTATGATATATTTTGGAGACCTTCTGCTGTCATCTCGCTCCGTGTGTTTCCCATCCCATGATCAACTATTTAGGAATCATAGAGTTCTAATAGAAATTTGTTGAATGATCAAATCATTTCGGCATGTTGATCAGACAAAGGTTGATCAAGCAAACACCAATATGTTCTATGCCGAATCAAATTACTGAAAAATAATAATTTGTTCTATAGGAAGGGAGAAATACTCGTTTTTTTGGAAACCCATGATGGTTGTGTGAAAGCTTTTTTCCGGGTTTTTTGGCCGTGGTATGCAGGTTTTATGTGTGACATTTCGTCTACCACTGCAGTAGACATTATCAAAAGCGATGTGGTAACAACGTAAAATTAGTTTTAATGGCGCAGTCGGTAGGATAAACCCGTAAAATGATGAAATACAATTTGAGTGACGAATAGAGTGATATCTCCGATTTACTATAGAAATGTTCCCTGATAGTTTTTTTTTTCAAACCAGTATTCACATATTGGTACATATTGTTACATATATTCGTTTTGTCTTGGTCAGTTCTTGGGTTCGATTAGCACTTTTATCAGTTCTACTTTGACAACCTCAAAATTAATAGTGTATCATATCTCATCAATAGATATTTACAGTCCTGGCCGCTTTAAATTTGTTTCGATATTCTTTCAGAATCGCCACTGAAGTAGCTCTTAGACTCCTACTTTGACAACTTCAAAATTAATGGTGTATCATAACTCATCAATAGATATTTACAGTCCTGGCCGCTTTAAATTTGTTTCGATATTCTTTCAGAATCACCACTGAAGTAGCTCTTAGACTCCTACGAGTTTCTATATAGATACTTCCAAGTCAGAGTCCTCATATGTTTAAACTGGAAGAAAGTTTCCTCAACGTTTTCTCAACCTGTTGATTTTGTATGGTTTCCTAGCAAGCTGCTGGTATCCAAAGTATCTTCCAAAATTTTCAAAATCCACCTTTGCAAAGTTTTCACTACCCTGTTTTCATTCTTGATATGATTTAGCACATGTATAATAATTTGAAATAATATGAAACACATTTCATGCAACGATATGAAATATATAGTATGTTGGTACGTTATTTGCTGTGGGGCTAAAAGCACCCATAGAACAACGTAAAATCAGTTTCCTTGGCGCAGTCAGTAGGATAAGAAACCAGTGAAGTAATGAAAAACATTGAAGTGATGAATGGAGTGATATATTTGAATCATTTCCCATTATATGAGTTGAACATAGAATTGTCTCTAGTGATACTGTTTGAATTTTTCCGAATCGTTTTAATCTTCAGTCAGTTTTTGAACAGTAAATCAGTATTGATGGTGGAAAAATGTTTTTATGTAGGACGAAAAAGTCAATTAGTTGAAAAGAAGTGATAAACTGCTGTAGATACTCAAGAATTTGATTCTTGGTGGATTTTTTCTCATCCTAACTTTTTGTTGGGACGATACAGCATCATCAGTTTCCAATCTGTTTTTCGGTTTTTCTTGACCCACAGAAAATACTTATGAGTTCATTTTCCTCACACTCCTGCAACTTTATTCCATTTTGTTCGTTGTGAATGGTACGAAGTTGAAAAATTATTAAGATGACTATCATCTTCTGAAGTAAGTTCTACTCATCAAGATTCTAGTAATGAAATAGTTATCTAGATAGATTGTAGTCAGTATCAGGTCCGTCTGACATCTGAAATTTCTACATTGATCTAGGCATTTCATTGTACAGTATATCGACTGAAGTACAAGTATCTTCCATCCTTCTATATTATTTTGTAGTTGACATCGTGGGAACAGAAAAAGTTATCTGACATGGAATATAAGAACTTACCTTTGAATATATATAGGTTGTCACCTTCTTGGGACAAGTACTGTAATTGACACCGTTGAATTTGAGAAATGTGGGGCAGAAATTAAACCTTAACGAGGTCTTACCTTTTAACGTGTGATTCCTAACACGAGAAAATCGAGTGGGTAAACTTTTTGATTTGGAATAGAGAAACAGAAAAAAAACAGAAACAGAACTGGTGATCCGCCCGGCTCCGCACGGGTGCACTGGAAGTTCAAGGACATGGAGAAACAGTTGTGAATCGAAAAGGTAATTTTTATATGTAAACGCACCCTATTTACCACCGCGGGGGGCTTTCCAGTTGGGATGAAATTCCTTTCTTGGTGGGCATCTGAGATCTAAGTAGTATTGATATACAAAAGTGAGTCGGGATGAAGTAAAATAATTATTTTTATTACAATCGACTCAAATCATGAAAGAATACATTTGAGGAAGAAAAGGTCACATATACTTGTGATTTACAAATCAATATTTCGGAATTTATTTGTGTAAGTATTCTCCGAACTACGGAAGATATCAAATTCATTAGTCTTGTTTACATTTGTTCTTCATAGTATTTCCAATAAACAACCGCGTTTGATGTATTTAGTTGCTTGATGTTTCGCCGTCGACTTTGAAGCCTTTTTCAAAAAAGTTATGACTACACTGAGTGACCTGTTGTTAGGGTTTCGTGACGTGACGCCGGGGTCTCGATCTGCCTACTTCCTAGGTCTCGTTGCTGGTCTCTGCCATTGTCCCAAGAGTCCATAGTCCACAGAAACAACGGAGTATGTGGAACACAGTTCAAAAGCCAAAGGCTTCACAGAGCCTGGGGACTCAGAGTCGACGCTTGAGAGTAGGCAGATTGAGACTCTTGCAGAGACCAGCGACTAGACCTGGAGAGCAGGCAGAGTAGGCAGTCGATGCTTGGGAGTAGGCAGATTGAGACCCTTGCAGAGACCCGCGACTAGACCTGGAGAGCAGGCAGAGTAGGCAGTCGATGCTTGGGATTAGGCAGATTGAGACCCTTGCAGAGACCAACGACTAGACCTGGGGAGCAGGCAGAGTAGGTAGTCAATACTTGAGAGTAGGCAGATTGAAACCCTTACAGATACAAGCGGAGGGAACCTTACATCATGTCCCCACCTGAGAAGTAGGTAGATTGAGATGTCAGTGTAGTTATAGCTACTTGAACATGGCTCCAAAACAACAGACGCGGTTCAACCCGTCATTATTTCATTTATTTATATTTCACAGTAAAAGAAGGTGAAACAATGGATTATTCAATATGATTTCAATGTAAACATAGTTTTCATATGGCAGTAACAGTGATATTAAAAGCCTACAGTTATCGGAAAGTCACTAGATGGCATTCACTTGCTAAGTATCTCCTGGATTTCTGAAAAACTCCTACCTCTGGTCTCCGGCAAAAAAAAGTACATGAAAACAAAAATTAGGAAGCAACCTGCACTAAACATTCCAATGCTATAATGCACTCCCAAATACTCTACTACTAGGGGAAAAGATGCGGATATAATGGTATTGAAAATAGCAACGGTTGTTCTAACAAAGCAACAACCTGTAGATCTCATATCGTTAGGATATAGCTCGCTCAGTAGAGATACTGTTACTGAACCTATACCTAAAGAATAGCAGGCAATGTAAAGAAGTACGCATACTATAGGTAACCATCTGATGGTATGAACAATTGGCGAATCGGTGGCGTTGAGATAGAAATACACAGCAGTGATGGTGAGAGGCACTCCAGTGGCAATGTACGAAAAAAGTAGCAAGGGCCTTGTACCCACTTTTCTCACAACTGCAAATGTTACGAAATAAAAAGTCAGTTTAACAACTCCCACTAAGATTGCCACCGAGTTTCCAGATAGATTCGTATTAGCATCATTGAAGAGGGGTGCTACGTAGGCCATGACGCTAGGCACTCCTGAGACTGATATACTCAAGATTGCTAAGAATCCAATTAAAGTTGCCATCCTCAAACCGCGTGTTGAGAATAGTTCTTTGAATCCGCTTCCAACACCTTCATTTCGTTTCGTTAGAGATCTTTCAATTTCAATGTAGTCTTGAACAATTTCGTCTTCGGTTTTGTTGCTTCTCAGTTTCTTCAATGTGTTGATGGCGGTTACTCTATCTCCTTTAGCGGCCGAGTAAATTGGTGACTCGGGAAGTAGTACCAATGAAAGAATGATTTGCGGGATCAGAGGTGCTGCACATAAAAATGTGAACCATCTGACGCTGGTAACAGGACCTACAAGATAGCCGTAAAGACCCCCCAGGGGTAAAAAGAACATCATGAGACATCCATGTTTAGCTCTGTTGTGATCTTCGCAAATCTCGTTCAGATATATTGGCAAAGCGGACAGTATAAACCCAAAACCTATCTCCGCGATGGATCTTCCAATGATGTAGACGTATATATGGCTTCCAAAGAGGACCATTACTAGATGGGGTGGAAGAGTTAATAACGATATAACGAGCAGAGTCTTCTTTCTACCGATGATATCCGGTAACTTTCCTAGTAATAGTGCTCCAAGTATTCTGAATGCTGAGGGTATTCCAAATAACATCGAGATTTGAGCCGTGGTTATTGGATCTTTCAGAGGGTTGATATCCGAGTTATTCGATTTCAGTTGAGGGATCACGGGGGATGGCCAGACAATGGTACAACCTTTCACGAATATCTGAACACTCGCTAGAACAAGAAAAATTGAATTGAAATTCTATCTGAGGCCATTAAAGAACTAATATTAAACGTTTTTTTTCTTTGAACTTTATCTAGAGAGAAAATGAGTTTCTGGAAAGCGGATTAGTTTTCTGACTTTCCATTTCTCTGTCACTGAAAAAAATTAGAAAACTTACAGAGAAAGGATGGAAAATACTACAACAAAACTCCTCATTGAAAAGAAAGTAATGTTATGAAAGGAATGAGTGTTTCGTCTTGTAATTGAGACAAGTGTTCTATCCCAAAACTTCGAAGTACACTATTGAGGATAATGGTGTTCCGTGTGTGCCATCTATCAGGTGGAAACAATTTGCAATGCAAAATTCATTACGAAGTCACTGTTCGAAGCTACAATGATAATTTCAACAGTCCCTTCGTGTACTTTTTTGACAGAATGAAGTTATTTCGAAAAAGAGTATTGATCTCGTGTAATTTAGTGTTTATTCGACAGTAGTGTTTTGAAAAGGGTTGTTCCTCCAGTTTGTATTTGAAAAAAACTTCTGTGTATTATCTACATATCTTTGAAAGGGTGTCCATTGTACTTATTTTCTTTACGTTTCTGTGATTTCATGATGAAGAAGCAGAATGACAATGAGCTTATAAAATGTTTATAACTCTCTCAGAAGATGACACAGTGTGCCGAAACAGCTGTTAGCAATGAATGTTGATGTTGTGTGAACTGTGGAGTATTATTGTCACCCTGCCTATTCATTTAAACAAATAGAGAGCAGAAGATGGCTTACCTGTGACTACAATGAAATATAAAAATAGCGTGTCATTTTTCTTCCTACTGTCTTTTGGTTTGAACTTAACTGTCCCATCCACATCCTCAATGGGTGTATAAACCACCTCTTCAACTAATTTATTATCTTGGTGACAACTCATAATTTCCTCATTCACAATTTTCATTAAACAAAATGTAGGGTGTCTCCAGAGGCTCCAATAAATTCACTTAGTGACACGACTATCGTCAAACTCAAACTTGGTTGAGAGTTGACTGCCTCATATTCATTTCGTTGAATACCAAAGTGAAAAGCACAATTTTCCGAAAAATTCTTTTGAACATTCTCCATCAAATCGATATTTACATTATAGTATGGGTCCCAAACAAGACTGGGGCGGGACAATACGGAACAAGGCAAAACGAGACGGTAAGGGACAGCACGTAACGGAAAGAGACGGAACTGAACTCAATGGATAGGAACGGGACGGACAAGACGGGACTGGAAAGGGACGTGACTGGACGTAATGGGATGGGACGGGACAGGAAGGAGCGTAACGGGCGAGAAGCAATGGGATGGAACGCGATGGGACGGGATGGGACAAGACGGGACAGGACGAAACAAGATGTGACATGACGCGATGGGACGGGACAGAACGCGATGGGACGGGACAGAACGCGATGAGACGGGACGAGATGGAATGGGATGAGACAAGATATAATAGGATAGAATGAAATGGATAAAACGAAAACATTCGATTTGTCTATTCAATATACTTACTGTTACGACGTATGTTCTGTCACAATCGTAACAAACTATCGCTGTCACTTAAAACCTACATTATATCAAAAGCTTTGTTTTGTTATGTTCATGGATATTACAGGTATACAAAATGTAGGTACCAAATTATTTATGATAGGATAGGCAATTTAGGTATAAATTACTCAGATTTAAATGTAATCAGTGAGTTTTGAAAATGGTGTAATAGCCGAAACTAGCCAACAATAAAGAAATATCGTGGAAAATAGACAAAAGTGTGTTTTTGTAGTGTATCCTCAGTGAACATGAATTTCCACGAAATAAACAAGTCGTCAATCAAAGAAGTAGATATGAACAATTATGCAGCAGAAAATGTGACTCCTATATGCACTTTCGAATCATAGTGGGTCTACCTACAGCGGACATTACACAGCATTCTGCAGACATCCTTATACTGGCACGTGGCACGAATATAATGATTCCCACGTTTCACCAATTTCACCAAAATCGCTTGTGAGTGGAGATGCATACATCCTCTCTTATGAAAAGGAGGAAACAAGTTCGCACTTTTGAGCGTTTTGAAATGTTACTTTTGTACTGTTGATTTCAATGTTATAATGAATTATATGTTATAATATTATCTAACATTCAAACACCCTTTAATGTAAACATAGTTTTCATATGGCAGTTACAGTGATATTGAAAGCCTACAGTAATCGGCAAGCCACTAGATGGCATTTACTTGCTGAGTATCTTCTGGATTTCTAAGAAACTTCTACCCCTGGTCTCCGGCAAGAAGAAGTACATGAAAACTAAAATCAGGAAGCAACATATACTGAACATTCCAACACAATAATGCACTCCCAAATACTCTACTACCAGAGGAAAAGCTGCAGATATAATGGCACTGATAATATCAACGGTTGTTCTAACAAAGCAACAACCTGTGGATCTCATATCGTTAGGATATAGTTCGCTCAGCAAAGATACTGTTACTGAACCTATACCTAAAGAATAGGAGGAAACGTAAAGTAGTACGCATACTATAGGTAACCATCTGATGGTATGAACAATTGGGGAATTGGTGGCGTTGAGATAAAAATACACAGCAATGATGGTGAGGAACACTCCAGTAGCAAGGTATGAAAAAAGTAGCAGAGGCCTTGAACCCACTTTTTTCACAACCGCAAACGTTACGAAATAAAATGTCAATTTAACAACTCCCACTAACATTGCCACTGAGTTTCCAGAAAGATTCGTGTTAGCATCATTGAAGAGGGGTGCTACGTAAGCCATGATGATAGGCACTCCTGAGACTGATACACTCAAGGTTGCTAAAAATCCAATTAAAGTTGTCATCCTCAAACCACGCGTTGAGAAAAGTTCTTTGAATCCGCATCCAACACCTTCATTTAGATTTGTTAGAGATCTCTCAATTTCAATGTAGTCTTGAACAATTTCGTCTTCCGTTTTGTTGCTCCTCAGTTTCTTCAATGTGTTGATGGCGGTTACTCTATCTCCTTTAGCGGCTGAGTAAATTGGTGACTCGGGAAATAGTACCAATGAAAGAATGATTTGTGGGATCAGAGGTGCTGCACATAAGAATGTGAACCATCTGACGCTAGTGAGAGGACCCACAAGATAGCCGTAAACACTACCCAGGGGCAAGAAGAACATCATGAGACATCCATGTTTAGCTCTGTTGTGGTCTTCGCAAATTTCGTTCAGATANCCTGAACTCAGATCGCCCGTAATTTATTTTTCCTTTCATTTTTAATGTATTCCTCTTATTTCCTAATGGAAATAAGGGGAATATGATAATAATTTCCTACTTGTTATTTTTTTCACTTTTTTCCATTTTTGAAGGCCTTGGTCTATGATGAAAAATGGGTATACTTTCGACACCTGATATAACTATTCAAATAGAAGTTGAAACGTAGTACGTGGCTCACCTGTTATGACAACGAAATATAAAAATAGCGTGTCATTTTTCTTCCTACTGTCTTTTGGTTTAAACTGAACTGTCCCATCCACATCCTCAATGGGTGTATAAACCACCTCTTCAACTAACTGATCATCTTGGTGGTAACTCATGATTTTCTCTTTCATAATGTCGATCACTAACACAAATTTTCTCTTTGTTAACAACGACCAAAATAAAGGAAATACAAAAACTTAATCGAAATAGTGCGGCTCATTATTATGAATACTATCAGTCTAGTTCGTCAAGGTTCTAATTAATATGGATGTGACACGGCTCAACTTCGAAAGCATGCAACAAAAGTAACCTTTTTCTACGTATCTAATTTATTGAATTTATTCAAATGGACAGCTAGAAAGCCAAGAGAGGGCAGGGACGGGACGGGTCAAAACAGGGCGAGACAAGACGAGACGGAGAGGAACAGGACATAACGGGAAGGGATGGAACGGAACTGGACAGAAAGGAACGGGACGGACAAGTCAGGACAGACGGGATGGGACTGGACGTGATTGGACGGGACATGACTGAACGAGACGTGTCTGAATGGCCCGAACCGTGAATGGACGGAACGGGTCTGGTCGTGATGGGACCGGACGGAAAGGGACGGGACGGAGTAAGACTGTTTATTCTTCATAGTATTTTCGATAATCAAACGCATCTGTTTTCAGTTGTTCGACTTATCGGCGTCGAATGTGGAACCATTTTGAAGAAGCTATGGCTTCACTGAGGTCTCAATCTGCCTAGTCGTCAGAGCGTGACACACTGTGAGGGTTTTGTGACCTGACGCTGGGGTCCAATCTGCTTACTACTTAGGTATCGTCGCTGGTCTCTGCAAGGGTCTCAAGAGTCCATAGTCTTCAGATTGTGAACCATAGTTCACAATCCAGAGTATCCACAGAGCCACAGGACCCACAGTCTACGCTTGAGAGTAGGTAGATTGAGACCTCTATACAGACCAGCGACGAGACCCTTACATTATGTCCTTGTATGAGAAGTAGGCAGATCGAGGCCTCAGTTTAGTGATAGCTTCTCGAAAGTTAATCCAAAGTCCAAGCAGAAACGTTTTTAGTGCAAGAGAGTTCAAGATTATCAGCATTTATAAAAGTTCATGTTTGGTAAAAAAAATATCGAAATTAATTTATATCTTCTAAACGGTAATAGATAGGTATAGAGAAATAGTATATGAATTTGTTGACAAAGTGATAATGAATTACAATATGATATTATATACGGGGTGTTCCATTTGAAAAATCAAAGAAGCCGCTACTTTATAGTAGAAGCGCCAACGCCGCTTCGTCTAAAATATTTTAGGCGTGTAGGTCATATTGACTTCTGCATACTGTGGAATTTTCAGATTGATCCGTTGAATAGTTTGCCAGAAACGGCTAATTAACGCTCATCATGAAAAGCCCTGTATATGTTTTGTCTGTCCGCCATTTTCAAGAAGCTATGACCACACTGATGTCCCAATTTGCCTAATCCTCAGAGAGTGACACCCTGTAAGGATTTTGTGACTTGACATCGGGTCTCTATGTCCCGGTCTAAAGGGTCTCAAACGTCCACAGCCCACAGGCACAACATAGCCTCTGGACCACAGTACATAGTCCAAAGTCTCCACAGAACCTATGAACCCACAGTCAACGCTTGAGAGTAGACAGATTGAGACTTTCGCAGAGACCAGTGAAGAGACCCTTACATCGTGTTCCTTCCTGGGAAGTAGGCAGACTGAGAACTCAGTATAGTTATAGCTTCCTGTAAATGGCTCCAAAGTCGCATAACTCAAACACCGTACGTAGTTCAACCCAGACTTCAGTTACTTTGTTGCCATAATGTTATTTATTTGTATTTGATAATGGAATGAGTTGGAACATTGGACCATTCAAAATGATTCCAATGTAAACATAGTTTTCATATAGCAGTGACAGTGATATTGAAAGCCTACAGTTATTGGCAAGTCACTAGATGGCATTTACTTGTTTAATATCTCCTGAATTTCTAAAAAACTCTTATCACCGGTCTCCGGCAAAAAGAAGTACAGGAAAGCAAAAATCAGGAAGCAGCCTGCACTAAACATTCCAACGCTATAATGCACTCCCAAATGCTCTACTACCAGAGGAAAAGATGTGGATATAACGGCATTGATAATAGCAACGGATGTTCTAACAAAGCAACAACCTGTGGACCTCATATCGTTAGGATATAGTTCGCTCAGCAAAGATACTGATACCGAACCTATACCTAAAGAATAGGAGGCAATGTAAAGTAGTACGCATACTATAGGTAACCATCTGATGGCATGAACAATCGACGAATTGGTGGTGTTGAGATAGAAATACACAGCAATGATGGTGAGAAAAGCTCCAGTAGCGATGTAAGAAAAAAGTAACAAGGGTCTTGAACCCACTTTTTTCACAACTGCAAATGTTATGAAATAAAAAGTCAATTTCACAACTCCCACTAGGATCGCCACTAAGTTTCCAGAAAGATTCGTGTTAGCATCATTGAAGAGGGGAGCTACGTAGGCCATGATACTAGGCACTCCGGAGACTGGCAAACCCACGCTTGATAAAAATCCAATCAAAGTTGCCATCCTCGAACCGCGCGTTGAGAAGAGGTCTTTGAATCCGCATCCAACACCTTCATTTCGATTCATCAGAGATCTTTCAATCTCAATGTAATCTTGAGCGATTTCGTCTTCGGTTTTGTTGCTTCTCAGCTTCCTCAATGTGTTCATGGTGGTTATTCTATCTCCTTTAGCGGCTGAGTAAATTGGTGACTCAGGAAACAGTACCAATAAAAAAATGATTTGTGGGATCAAAGGTGCTGCGCATAAAAATGTGAACCATCTGACGCTGGTAACAGGACCTACAAGATAGCCGTAAAGACCCCCCAGGGGTAAAAAGAACATCATGAGACATCCATGTTTAGCTCTGTTGTGGTCTTCGCAAATCTCGTTCAGATAAATTGGCAAAGCGGACAGTAGAAACCCAAGACCTATTTCCACGACGGATCTTCCAATGATGTAAACGTATATATGGCTTCCGAAGAGGACCATCACTAGATGGGGCAGAAGAGTTAGTAACGATATAGCGAGCAAGGTATTCTTTCTACCGATGACATCTGGTAATTTTCCCAGTGATAGTGCTCCCAGTATTTTGAACGCTGACGGTATTCCAAATAGCATTGATATTTGAGCCGTTGTTATCCGATCTTCCAGAGGGTTGATATCCGAGTTATTCGATTTGAATTGAGGGATCACGGGGGATGGCCAGACTATGGTGCTTGCTTTTACGAATATCTGAAGACTAGCTAGAATAAGAAAAATTGAGTTGAAATACGTTATTAGACAGCCTCTTTATTTGGATATGATTGATCAAAATAGTTCTAGAGAGTGTTTTCTGGTGACATGCTTATATACAAGGTTAATTTTGAGTCCATTTCGAAGAAAAAACTACATATGTACACATTCTTAATACTTTAGCAACTTTAAAATCGAGGTGTATTTGTTCGGAACTTTCTTCATGTATCCTTCTTCATTGTATTCTTATTACACACTACTTCTAATGAGTACGAACTCTTGTTTCTTGTGACTTTTCATCACGAATCAACATAATGGAAACGCATTATTCACTTTGAATTTTTCTCCGCACATTTTTTCAGGTATCCCATCCAAAATTTCAGTTTGAGGCTGAACTTGCTACATGATCAGCAGCAGGTTTTCGAAGAGAAGTTGACACTTTCATCGAAAAAAAAAATTTCAGTCTTTATGAAAAAGACGTAATGTTGTGAAAGTAATGAGTGTTTCGTCTTGTAACGTTATCCAAAACCCTATTAATGAGGTGATAAGACAAGTGTTCCGTCCCGAAACTTCGGAATACACCATTGAGGATGATGGTGTTCCGTGTAGGTCATCTATTGACTGGAAACAATTTGCAATGCAAAATTCATTACGAATTCTTCGTTCGACATTGTAGTCCCTTGTAAAAATTCCCTTGTTTCTATCGTATTTTCAATAAATTATGACATATCATTGAAAAGGTAAAATATGGTTCTATTCAAAATAGAAAAAATCCAATGTAGCGCCCATAAGAAAGAATAAAGTTGATGATGGTGGCCGGAAGACGAAACGTCGGATAGCAAATCTGAAAACACCATTATGTAGCAGGAGAAAAGTGGCAATGTGGAAGTGCAATTTATTTCCGAATCCTTCGAAAAATAAATCCAGAAAAAAATAAAAACCATTTTCCGAAATTTCTGTTTTTTCCGGATATACTCGGAATTTCAGAACTATCTCAACAGCATATTATTAGTCAGGTAAATGCGCAACTTTGTCCTAATTCAACCATCTTCGTATCTCTCATAGTTTCCGAAATCCCAATGGTGTATATTGTACATGTATAGTACATAGTGAAAAAATCTCAATCAGTCTGTATATACAACGACATAGTAGCATGATTATTAACGAGATATAGAGCTACAAAAATACATGACATTAAATTGGACAAAACTGTTGAAACAACCTAAAAGCAAGTTATGTAGGATTATCTTGAATAGTAAAAGATGAAGTGGTGTACCAATATAGCTATTTGAATAGAGGTTGAAATACAGAATGTGGCTTACCCGTAATGACAACGAAATATAAAAATAACGTATCATTTTTCTTTCTACTTTTCTTTGGTTTGAGCTGAATTTTCCCTTCCTCAGCCTCAGTGGGTGCATAAACAACCTCTTCAAATGATTTATCATCTTGATGGCAATTCATATTTTTCTATTCAACGACACAAATTTTCTCTTTGATGCATTACCAGTAAACAACGCCAAAAAAAGAAAACACAGACATTTTTTAATGATT